ATCATCTAGAGTACAGTGCAGACAACCCCCTCCATTATACATCCCTATCCCGCTTTAAGTCCGAGGTTTATCATTGTTTATTGTCCAATATTGTATCTAACCTGGCAGAAGCAAGCTTCAGATCCAAAGTCAGGCCATAAATATCAACACAAGGTCGAAGCCACTTTCAGAGTAGCGAATCGTTCATCATGCTGATGAAAGTCAAATCTAAGAACTCGATCTACCGAGTTAGTATAAAGAATAGTATAGCGATGTCTGTGGGCTAGGCTGTATAGTTCTTTTAAAAAATATTTCCTTGCGTTTCAAATAAATTAAAGAATTCTCAGAAATTTTTTATTTAATTTCAAAATTTGCAATTGCATATTCATCCGGTAATTATTCTAATGGATACGCTAAGCATTTGAAACTAATCTTGACCTGGGAGAAGAGCTGACCAGTGACAAGTCGGCCGCAAAGCGGCCGAAAAATATATAGCCTTTTTTTCTTCCCAAAATGGATTCCTAGTCATATTTAAAATTTATTCCACTGGGGCTTAGTGCGAGATAAATGTTTTTCCTAAGATTTTTGAACCTCTTTTAGATTAGTAGCTGTCGTTGTACTTAAGAATTCCTTCTGATATTGAGATATTGGTATCTCAGATCACGTGTACATCGTTCCTTTTTTATGACACAGTAATTTATTGACACTCACAGCTATAATTTTAATCATTGAATCAGTATTTTTATCTGTGCTCTGCGTAATGCATCACATGAATCAGTTTTTAATCTATTCGCTCTGCTTTAGCATCACTTGACTATTTAAAAAGAAATTGTTTGTTCAGGCCATGACCTTATAGTCAGCCAATTGGCCATTGCTGAAATTGAATGTAGTTTATTCGATTGTTCTACTAATGAAACACCATGTACTTAAGAATTGCAAGCAGTAAATTAGTTACGGCCACATTTTACTTGGAAATCTAGAAACGCTGTTACAATGTTAATTTTCGTTACAGCTGAATTAACTCCTCGAAATAGTGAAACAAGTGTAATCTATTAGAAGATACTATTGCACACTGCAAACATGATGGAAGCCAGTTCTTCATATTTAATAATGAAAATGTTGTTAATGTTTAGCCTCGTCTCTCTTCACAATTCTTGCCCCATTATCCAATACCATGAATTTAATTTTTTTAAAAATGGCGAAGGCTGTGAAATGTTCACAGTTCTGATAATGAGGAAATCAGAAAGAATGTTTAAAACTAGTGATGATGTTTATGTCATTATTCTTAATCTAATCTAATCTAATCTTAATAAAACATAATTTCTATCCAATATTTTACCTTATTTCTGTGCATGCTCAATTTCACATGATAGGCTCTTCACTGTCCTGATAATGCAGGCATTAGGAAGAATGTTCTAAAAAGTAGTGATTATGTTAATATCATTAGTCTTGCTTTGATTTAAGAAAACTACCATCTCGATTTTTTAGGACACATTCAGCTTAATGCCACCCCACTATTCTGCCTGTAAATTTAAATAGTTTCGCCTTTTGATATTTCGGCCTGTAAATAATCTGCCCAATTTGGTCTCACTTTCCACATTTTCTGAGCCGTGTGAGCTGTAGATAATTTAACCTAATTTCTCGCTTGATTCACTCTGACCCTCTAATAACCATGACGGCCCAACCTCAGCACTACTTTAACTAGCCCTGTTCAGCCTACACTTTCCGGCCTACATGGAGTTTTATTTTGAAATATCCATTAATAAAGAACATTTCGGGCGAAATTTGGGTGGATGACAGCAATTGTTAAATTGCGAGCAAGGCTAGTTACAGAAAATAAATTATTATTCAACAGGGCCATACCAACAAAAATGATAAGAGTGAATACCTTAATGTGGTAATTTGTGCCCACAATAAAAATTGTTTCTGTACTATTTCTGATTAAATTAAAGTATTTTAAAGCAAAATATCTTTCCTTTGTTTTTTGTTTGTTTTATGACGTTTATATTTTCTGGTTCAACCAACTTCACCTAACATGGATACCGTATCACTGTAATATACTGGATCTCACAACCTTTTGCTCAATAATGGTATACCTATACGAGGTATATCCGTCCGGTTTTTCACCTCCAGCTCCCCATTTTGATTGTCTTTATAATGTCCAACTGTTTTTAAACCTACTGGTGACTCAACGTACTTTTCGGAGTGACATATTCGTTACTCATCTGTTGTACCTGTATCCTACATGAAATTGTTGTGTAAATAAGTCTCTCACCACAACTACCGTGTGTATGAGAATACGGAGAATATGACAACACCGGACACCCGTAATTATTATCGTTCTAGTTACAATTTTATGTCTGTCTACATAAACTATTATATTATTTCTGTTTCACCCGGCCCTGTGTTATCATAATATGAAGTTAAATGTTCTTGTTGAATTCCTAAATCAGATATAATTGTATGAAATAATGAGTTGTTGAATGATCACGTGTTTTAAACCTAACCTTCTTTGTAGCCATGGGTAAGCCAAGTGGCTTGAAAACAGCCCGTAAGTTGCGAGTGCATCGCCGTGACCAGAGGTGGCACGATCTGGGATACAAGAAGGCTCATTTGGGAACAAGGTGGAAGGCCAATCCTTTCGGAGGATCCTCTCACGCTAAAGGTATGTCAAGTATTTAACTTAAATGACAAAACATAACTGTTTTGGTTTTAAAATAAGCGCTTCAATTCAATTAACAGTGAATAAAATGGCAATGTACCGTTCGGAAATATTTGTCTTCATCCCTGAGATTTTGCAAATGACAGCGAACTTCTTAAATTTGTATATCAATCTAAAAACTTAAATCCACAGGAATCGTGTTGGAGAAGGTCGGTGTTGAGGCCAAACAGCCTAACTCTGCTATCAGGAAGTGTGTTCGAGTCCAGCTCATCAAGAACGGAAAGAAAATCACAGCTTTCGTCCCTAATGATGGTTGTTTGAACTACATTGAAGAGAATGATGAGGTGATTATTTTAGATTCTCTTTTAGTTCTTAATCACTTCACTTGGATGATTGATGATCCTAATTTGTAATCCTTGTAATCGTCGTAAAATCGACTGTGCTAGAAATCACTTGCACCGCCCACACCTGTTGCAAAATACATCTTGGCAAGCGCTGCTCGAAAACTTAACGAGTAAAAGATAGTGGGTGTGGTCTTCCACTCCCTCTTTAAAAATATTATCGTTATACATTAATACTAGGTTAATTTTGGGATGCTTTTATTTTGGTTGTGCAATCTTAAACTTTTTGCAATAAATTTGATAGTTGGGGACGAAGTGAGAGTATCCAGTCTCCGTATTTAAAACAAATAATTGTCGACGTTTCGGTACTTTGTCGTGGTCGAGACGTAACAGAAACTTCTGCTTAATAAAAACCTAACCCTAACCCAACTATCAAATTATATGATCGACCCACTCATAAGAGCGAAAAAAGATTGCCATTTTCTGCAATTGTGATACAAATAACGAGAGTTGGCCGAGTAAATCAACTTAATAAATAATAAAAAGCATCGTTTTCCTCGATTATTACTGTTTCACCGCAATTACAACAGTTTAACCTTCAGGTTCTCATCTCTGGATTCGGACGATCTGGTCACGCCGTCGGAGATATTCCCGGAGTCAGATTCAAGGTTGTCAAAGTCGCCAGTGTATCACTCCTCGCTTTATACAAACAGAAGAAAGAACGACCTAGGGCTTAGATTCATTTCAGTTTTTATTTATTGAAAAAAATGGTGTTTTACTTGTTTCTATGACGAAAGTCGATTATCTCAAAATTCTACCATAGGATTTTATGGAAACTTCCTATTTAAGACTAGTAATTTGTGCAATTTTGGGCAAATTTCTAGGCGACAAATTCGAGATGTAACTCTAAACACAAGAAAATATCTCCAAATCAGCGAATTCTACGGAACACAAGCAACTATCTCAAGATCATTTATGTACCATGCGATTTTCTTCAAACTTCCCAGATTGTAAGATGGGTAATACCTATACATTTTATGCAAGTTTGGGTGAATTTTCATTTGCCAAATTTGAGATATTTGAAAACATCTCTAATATAAATTGAAAATACACAAGAAAATATCTCTAAATTAAATTTGAAGTGATATTTCTAATTTGCACATATTGTCAGTTATATATTCATTTTACTGTCTGGGAAGTTAAGAAGAGAAAGTCATATATGAGGATCTGGAGATAATTGTCTGTGTTCCGTGGCCCACCATCGCTTTAGAGTTATTTCCTTGTGATAGAAGTGATATTTCAAATTTAGCACATATAAAGTTACCCAAACTTGAACAAATTGTGTCAGTCTTACACTTTTCTTACTATCCGAAAAGTTTGAAGGTAATTAGGATCTGAAAGAAATTGAAAAAATAGTTGTTTAGAACAACTGATTTACGGCCTTGTAATTTGGGACAGTTTTGTTCAAAGTTCCGTAAGTGAGACAGAATGGTTTGTTGAGATATGGAACGCGCGAACGCCCAACAACTTATTTGTTGGGTAGTTCATCTCTACATCATTTTATCACTGAAATTTTCGACGCGCACGTACTTCCCCATCGAATGCGTGTAGAAATTACGATTTACTAGGCGTCTAGTTAGGGGGGCGTAGGTATGGCTCAGAATAAAATTAACTTCATAGAACACCGCAGACAATTCTTCCTAACTAAAATTTCAATCGTAGGGACGTCTGAGTTTGTCAATAATTTTCAAAAAGTGCCTTTCGAAATTAGGTCTGCATCTGTTGTTCATTGATCATTGCATCTATATCCGTCGCAGGGACGAGGTGGCCGAGTGGTTAAGGCGATGGACTGCTAATCCATTGGGCAATGCCCGCGTGGGTTCGAATCCCATCCTCGTCGATCTTTTATCGGTAAGTCGAAAATAATTTTAGATCGTAATAGTTCTCACTTTTCTGGTGTAATTTTAGGTTGAGCAGTTCAGTTTAATTGGGTTTTATTAACAATTAGATATGTCTTTGACAATTAAAAGTTGTTTTCAGAAAGTGCAATCAGAAGATCTAAAACAATTTCAACACAAAGTATTATTTTAAACAGCTTGCCATAATTCCATCCGATAGCTCAGATACACAATTAATAAAATATAAATATAAGTAACACAAAATAAAACGGTAAGAAAATCTCAATTTTATCAGTTCTGATCATGAAGAGTAAGATAGACAACTCTGTATTCTTCGAGAGTTCTTTGCATCAAAATATCAAAAATTGAACATAAAGACAAGAAGTTGAAGAACAAAGAATTCAAATGCGCAATTTTGGTGATTTCTCTCTCGAATGTCAACCAAAAAGCGCCTGGTCTTTCAACTGATGAAGTGCCATTTCCGGGCCCTACTGGTGACCCACTCCTCTTCCACCGACCATCACATCTCACATGACGGCTCCTACAGCTGCCCACGCCCGGGCATTGCCCATATCTGGTGCTCTTGTCCAGACGTTCTCTACAGCGTCGTAGTACTCCACACTTGCGATAGCGTCCTCGTGTTGCACCTACGATACATTAATGTCAGCATTCAGCCATACCAGAAATGTAATGTCAGCATTTAGCCATACCAGGAATTTAATGTCAGCACTCCTTATACCAGAAATGTAATGTCAGCACTCTTTATACCAGAAATAGCACAATATCCATATGATTTGCAGAAGTTTTGTAATTATCGTAATAGGTTTGTTTGGCAAAGACGAAACAATAAACAATTGCCTGGCAGCTCAAAGCGTTTCAATTTCTCAAACTTAAATGCAAGAACTCAGTACTAAATGTGCTTAATAAGTGCTTCAATGTTTTAGAAAGGTAGGTTCGTGTCTTGTGAAGAATTGTGAAGTACATTATACACAGTGCACCCTGTATATTGTATTTGTATTGATGTTGTTCGATGATTAGTTCACTGAAACAAAGATTTGGTCCACTGCAGTATGATAATTGTTTTACGAATCAATATAGCATAGAACCTCTGCCGTCAAATAATCATAAAAGAGTTTTAACAATGTTAAGAGTATAATCCATGATTCAAGACAACAAGTTTAAAGTTTCACTCCAAGTTTTTCAGGCACTGGCTCGTAGTTGAAGAAGGACCAGTAGTCCAGTTCAGTTTAAAACGCTGGTGCATATACTTACATTCAGAGGTTTGCCCATGCCTGGGCCTTGGTGGGTACTCATTTTCCTTGCCCCTGCCCCTGTTATGGCAGTCCACGGACCAGACTAGGCGGAATTGTGTTTCAGTTTAGACAGGGATTTCAAGAGGCTCTTAGTCTTATTTAGTTCATATTCATTTAAAGTATTTCTTATCTTCCCCTAAATTTTATATTTGCTCTCAATTAAAAATTTTAGTAAAGTTATTGTGCTTTGTGTTGAAATTGTGACATAAAATGGTTTTAATTGTTAGTGTATTAATTCACATCGTCAGCCTGATAAAACCAATGTATCTCACAGGTTTGACGGTTTCTGAATTCTTATATTGGTGTTTGGTGACTCTTCTAACAGTAACGGAACCAAGATGAACAACAATATCGCCACCTCGCATTTGACGTGATGAACAACAATATCGCCACCTCGCATTTGACGTGATGAACAACAATCATTTTTCAAAGGTTAGAGGATAGCATTTGCTTCAAAGTTCTTTTTGATTATAAATCATTGTTGAAGTTTTTTTCGTTTTAATTTTAGTTATCAAGCTTGGAGGAAATAACAATATATTCAAATCAATCACAATACCATGCAGCTAATATGTATATTAATTCTCTCGATCGTGCAATGGAATCAGTCATTGATTGCTAAATAATTAAATATATAAGGGATATTGGTGTACACTAATCACGGAATTAATACGTTAGTCAGTAATCAAGCCTAATACTGTAGGTCAGTTTGAACGTTACCTGTTGACCGCCGAGAACATATATTTTGCTACCGAAGGAGACAGCCATGTGACCGTATCTCCTTGTAGCCATAGGACTGATGTAACCCCAACTATCGTTCTCCTCGTTATACTTCTCACACTCGTGCAGTGCTCTCCGGCCGTTCCACCCACCGGTCACGTACACTTGAGACTTGATCGCCACCAGCTGACATCCAAACCTTAAGGTAGGAATTTAATTCGGTACAAGAGGTCTTGAGCCGTAGTTCTTACCGACAGTTTAAGAAAATGTTGGAAAATTGGATCCATAGTCCTTTGGTTTGCACTCAGTACTATCCCTACCTGGCATTGCTCATACTAGCAATCTCGCTCCACTGCCCCGTACCCTTATCAAACACTTCTGCAGTCGCTACCGGTCCCGTTCCACTGTCCCCTCCGACCGCGAATATCTTCTGTCCGGCTGTTACCATTCCGTGGCTGTGTCGAGCGTGGATCATGGGGTTCACTGTCTCCCACAAATCCCGGTGTATGTTCAACCTGAGCGTGGAGGATGTTATTTGCAGCTGGAATGTAATAAGTTAATGTTAAGAGATGGTCTATGAACGTGAAACAGACAGGCTTTATGATTATAAGGAGGACTTTGTCTGTCAGCTGTCTGCATTTTGAGTCTGCTGGCCAGGTTCCTGCACTGCTGTAAATTGTTTAACATGTGGGGGAGGGGGGGGGGGGGGGGGCAGGTTCCTGCACTGCTGTAATTTGTTTAACATGTGGGGGGGGGGGGGGGGGCAGGTTCCTGCACTGCTGTAAATTGTTTAACATGTGGGGGGGGGGGCAGGTTCCTGCACTGCTGTAATTTGTTTAACATGTGGGGGGGGGGGGGGGCAGGTTCCTGCACTGCTGTAAATTGTTTAACATGTGGGGGGGGGCAGGTTCCTGCATTGCTGTAAGTTGTTTAACATGTGGGGGGGGGGGGGTCTGCTGACCAGGTTCCTGCACTGCTGTAAGTTGTTTAACATGTGGGGGGGGGGGGGGGGGGGGGGGCAGGTTCCTGCACTGCTGTAAGTTGTTTAACATGTGGGGGGGGGGGGGGTCTGCTGACCAGGTTCCTGCACTGCTGTAAGTTGTTTAACATGTGGGGGGGGGGGGGGCAGGTTCCTGCACTGCTGTAAGTTGTTTAACATGTGGGGGGGGGCAGGTTCCTGCACTGCTGTAAGTTGTTTAACATGTGGGGGGGGGGGGGGGGGGTCTGCTTGTCAGGTTCCTGCACTGCTGTAAACTGTTTAACATGTGGGGGGGGGGGGGCAGGTTCCTGCACTGCTGTAAGTTGTTTAACATGTGGGGGGGGGGGGGGGGGGGGTTACATCTTGGCGTTTTATTCGTGCATGGGGGAATGGGAGGTTTAAACTGGAATATATGGTTTAGTGGTTTAGTGCCAAGGGTAAGTTTAAAGTAATGGGCTCAACTCCATACACTATACACTATACAGTATACTACTATAGATCACGTGATACGTTGTGACTTGAAACGGTCGTTCTCCGTATCAGCTTTCAACAGTAATTCTCATTTTAACACAGTTTTGGTCATAAACTACATATTACTACCAGTACACAGTAGCTGCTTGATTTTTAACATGGAACGATAGAGCCCTGTCAAGATATTAACGATTATTAGAGGTTGGCGTGTCAGAACTTTTATTAGCACTTGACCAACTTCACAACCTCACCCTATTCCGCGTGCTTAAAAGGGGGGATCAAGGATGCAATGACCAAACATTATTCCTAGAAATCACAAATTAGTCATTGGTGGAGGTAAATTTGATGTAAGCGTTAATTACACAAACTTTTCGTCTTAAGTCTCGTCAGACGCTTAATTATGTGAAGCGTCTGAGGAGAATTAAACACGACCAGTAATTGTGTCTACCAAGTTGTTGTTAAAGTTATTCAAGATAAGTCACCGCCGCATCCCTCAGAATACATTACATTAATACAGCATATACATCGCACTTCACATTACCTGATAACTTCGTTCATGGTATGCCTATCCTTCTGTCCCCCACTGACGTACAAGAAGTTGCCAAAGCGAGCAGCAGCGCTCTTCACTCTTACAGTCGGCATCTCCTGAAGACTGGCCCAGATGGAGAGAATACCGTCAAATACAAAGGTGGTATCCAACCTCGTGCCGCTGTCACTTTGTCCCCCTGGGATAGTGTGTCACGGTTATATTGTTGTCGTGACAAAGTTTTACTGTAGGTAGGTTTTAAGATAAGGATTTAATCCCAAATATGGTCATTTTGTGAGAAAAACGTAAACTAAAATGTAGATATGGATAATGGGTAAAATAGGGTTGGAACTCTCCCACCATTGTCATACTTATAGTAACCATAACAATGTTTAACTGTTGCCATGACAATGTCATGGTACCGCAAAAAATACTGTCTCCACGTTATCACTACGATAGGCGTTATAACGTAACATTATAAAATCATAATGTAACTCCATGAAGTAACGTAACATTATAATGTAACTCCATGAAGTAACAATATACCTGCGATGTAGATCTTATTATCAACAGCAACAGAAGTCATGGTTGCCGAGTAGATACTGGGTGGTGTACTTGTCATGTTCATCTCCTCTATTGTTTCCCATGCTCCTGTACGCCTGGACAATGAGAACAGGTTCATGTTTTGTGTTACCAGCAATATGGTTACTAGTTACTATGTTTACCAGCAATTTTGTTACTAGTTACTATGATTACCAGCAATATGGTTACTAGTTACTATGGTTACCAGCAATTTGGTTACTAGTTACTATGGTTACCAGCAATATGGTTACTAGTTACAATGGTTACCAGCAATATGGTTACTAGTTACTATGGTTACCAGCAATTTGGTTACTAGTTACTATGGTTACCAGCAATATGGTTACTAGTTACTATGGTTACCAGCAATATGGTTACTAGTTACTATGGTTACCAGCAATATGGTTACTAGTTACTATGGTTACCAGCAATTTGGTTTTATTTTGTATTTAAACTGTTGTTGTAAAAGTAAGCTATAAAATGTGGAAGTGCGACTAATAGTCAGGGGACTAATGATAATGATGGATATTTAAATATTAGAAGTGAGTACTACTACTCAGACCATATCTTGCTATAGTACCTAAATGTACTGGCTATATACCTAAGTGTACTTGCTATATACCTGTTGTAAACCTCCATAGTGGTAGTAATGTGGGATCTGTTCAGATACCCCCCAAACACGAATATCTTCCCCATCTTATCATTGACCCTCTGATAAAAGGGGACCTGCAACGCTGCAGGGTTGCCTAGCAACGTCTCTATATTATTGTAAAACTCCTCGTTACTCGTCAGGATGTTCTTGTTACACACCATGTTCTGCAAGGAGAAAATGTTTTTTTTACACGGTTTTTGTAACAATCCCCCACTCACAAATCATCCCCCGTACATTATCCAGGATTTCCGGTTAATGACACGTTGTTTAACACATCACCGCTATTATATGGTATAATTACAATTAATAAATGGTGGAATGATAATTGCTAACGACTCTTTGCACACGCAATATGCGAATATTATTTACTATTACAAACACCATGCTATGCAGCTCGTAATAAATGAAGAATGTGCTTTACTAACAACGACTTTTGTGTTCTAATCACTAATGAAAGTTACACTAGCCATTAAAGTTATGAGGCTTCAAACCACACTAGGGACTATAAAGGGGTTGAGAGTAACTCAACCATATATTAGAAACTTAACACTTCAAAACAGTAAAAATGTACTGTTCAGCTAACAAAAATAACTTAAAACAAATCAGGTTTCAAGAGTAAATAAAAAGTGACCAAAAGTAACTTGAACTACTAGAAAGTTATGAAAAAGTAAGTTTTAATACTTTCAACACTACTATATAATAACAAATAATTTGAAATGATTCATCGATCCTGTTGATGGCGGTAAGCCGAAACTAGTCGAGACTCTACGGATCATCCCGAGATACGTTGTATCACTGCTTATGCTCAATGATATCTAAAAAATGAAAAAGTAACTGCAGGTTAGAAGAGCGAACCTGTAGTCCGTAGTCTGTCATGAAGGGGATCCGTATTTTTGAGCAGATCTCGGTAACGTGAGGTTTTCTTCCAATGTCATCCTTAGCTACCCACGCTAATGCTAACTGATAGACCTGGCGAGACATGGGGTTATATACCTTAGCTACCCACGCTAATGCTAACTGATAGACCTGGCGAGACATGGGGTTATACACCTTAGCTACCCACGCTAATGCTAACTGATAGACCTGGCGAGACATGGGGTTATATACCTTAGCTACCCACGCTAATGCTAACTGATAGACCTGGCGAGACATGGGGTTATATACCTTAGCTACCCACGCTAATGCTAACTGATAGACCTGGCGAGACATGGGGTTATATACCTTAGCTACCCACGCTAATGCTAACTGATAGACCTGGCGAGACATGGGGTTATATACCTTAGCTACCCACGCTAATGCTAACTGATAGACCTGGCGAGACATGGGGTTATATACCGTTAAGAGTTGCTGGGGTGGGGTCACTAGCACACAGTTATTGGTGGGGTTACTGTGAATACTGATGGATTGGGGATTATTTGATCGGCAATAGATTGGGAAAGATGGTGAGCTAAGTATAGTAAGTACGTTCCGTATAGTGAGTGCCGTATAGTAAGTGCCGTGTAGTAAATAAGTGCCGTTAAATAATAGAGATAATAATACCACACAACCTTTAAAACCATAATCCAAACAAAATACAAATTTCAGTGGACACCGAGTAGGAGGAGCTACAAGCATGTTGTGAGACGAGAAACGACAATGATATCAGCTACCATTATACAAGGACACTAGAACTAGAAGCTGATCAGGTAAAATTTAAAACTCGATACAGAAAATTAAAAAAATTCTAATTACCTTATCCTCATTCTCAACGTTGAGACGGTCACTGGACAGTATCTTGTGGAAACTCTCCCAGTTCAACCTTAAGATCCTGTCGTTTTTGTAAAGTGTCTTGAAGTTGTCCTCTATGTAGGTCATAGCCACTGAGTTCAGTACTCCTGAGGTAGGTTTTAGTCGTTAGAATCAGATCCAGTCACGGTTTCTTAACATGCCAGACGGTGCATGTCGACTAACAGTATGTTTTATACCCGTTATATTGAGTTACCGTGCATTTGGGAAGGCATAATAGTATGGTTAAATAGTGTGTTAAATGGTGGACTCCTTTGTAGGACTAAGGCAGCTCTTTGAAAATTCTCTTGTTCAATTTAAATAAACATTAAATAGAGGATTGAGACCCTCAATTTGAGAGTATTCTTCTTCTAGAATAATATAAACTTGCTCTGCTCTAACAGTTAGGAGACATAATACAATTTAAAACGGATCCAGCCTGTTAAAATCTGTTAAAATCTCCTTTTGAAGGCAAAATTTCAACATTTAAAGAGGTCCTCTAATTTTACAGAGCGTTTCAGTTTCAAAGAGAAAATTTTCCCGCCATCCTTGAAAGAAGCCCTTGGTTGGTAACATCGTAAATGCTCAGTATTTTTCAAGACCACCAAAGACATATAAATCCAAATTTACTAAAAGCATTTTCTAAATACATTTTCTAAATAAATTTTCTGAACAAATTTACTAAATGAATTACTAAATAAAAATTCCGACCTGAAACACAGAAAAAAATAAATAAAAAGAAAGCATACCGATATCCCCAGTGGACTGTTCCAGGATGTCAAACACATTCTTATCACTCAGAGACGTCTTCAGCTTCTCCATACACTGTTCGGAGACCAAACGAGAGTTAACACTGTTCACAGTGTTACGAAAACAAAAACAGCTACTCATCTTCAACTTTCACGTGATCCACCGACAAACTCTCTCGAATGTTCTCGAATATTCTCGAATGATCGGACTAAGCTAAAACTCACAACAAGGGTATTCCGGTAGTAGGTGCACTAGTAAACGAAACAAACATATAAGCAGCTCTAGATAATGAAACATAGACCAGGTTGAAGTATACCACCCGTTTGGGGAGTTACAGTCAACGTGTTGACGTTGAGAAAAAGAAATCATAAAGTTTCTGTTACATAATATGGTGTGTGTCACGTTGTTGGAGTAATATGGTGTGATATCTGCAGGATGATCACGGAGGATATCACGTGGTGTGTGTATTTGATCATGACAGTCTCCAATTTTCATGTTGCTAACACATTTGTGTTCGTGAGCTTATATCCAGGTAGCACGAAATTGATGTTGGTGAAGTTTTAAAAGGTCCAGAATATTCTGTTATTTCGGAGATAATAATGATTTAACTTAAACATTTCATCAGATAGTACAACAATTAACTTTAAAATAAGTTAAGTTAAAATAAGGCTGCAGTATCAGGTTGAATATCTGGCACAAAAGGCAAAGTTATGACCCATGCCCACTGTTAACAACATCTGTACAGAGTATAAGCTCACCCAACATGTCCTAAAGTGAGTACTGATACGCACATTCAATAAACAATATACTCTCAAAAACGGTGTTAGCGTCAGTATCAAGCGAAGCTACTAATGACTCTATATATATATAGAGTATGTCTATATATAGACATCATTTTAACATAATAACCGCTTATCCTCAGGAACCTATACTATACTAGCGGTTCTCATCTTTGGGTATTCCCTTTAAATGATCTTGTAGTAGTGTAGTCTGGAATGTCTGATAGTATCTACCCATCAATCATTATATCATTATCAGCACTAACTTATTAAAATTGTCAATATGAATAACGGAAATGTTTTTAAAACTGGAGGCGTAAAAATACAGAGATAGAATAATGCTTTAAGTTAATTATGAATTAATGGATTTAGGAAATGCACTAAATATATTGAATTCTGTATAATATTCATTTCATTTCTGCAATCTGCGTCAGCAACTTAACACAGCAATAGCAGCAAATCTGGGGAAACTTGGTGGACATTGACTTTTTTCACACAATTTGAGTATGTTGACTTCAACATTATGTTGCAGCTCATTGTGGTTAATCTCAATGTTGGAGTGATGTTTTTCTGGCGCACAAAACACTGCAGTACGGTCATGTTGAATAATTGTGGTTAATGGGTCATCTATGTGGCCACTATGGTGGTTAAAATACCAGTTTTAGGGTTAACCACCATTTTGAGATATGATATTATGAACTGAGTAGTCATTATATTGAGATCATATCATGGTGCAACTATCACAAAAGTTTTCAAACCTCATTGGGGGCATTTTGTGGTCCTAATGGTGGTTAAATTGAAGATGAACGGTGAGCTATAAATATTGCTCTGATTATAGATGTATAGTGTTGGTTGTTCATTTGTGCATGGATGATAATTTTTTATCACAAATGTGCAATTTAATAGTATGGTTGATTTGAGGTGGTTAATATTCGTAAAAAGTGCTAAAAAGATGGTTAAAATGTCAAAATTTATTGTTAACCACCAATCAAAACATTATTAATGATTTTAGTCAACATTTTATGGTCAACAAAGGACATTTGAAGGGTCTTGATAAAATTTATCAAGAAACGTTGTCATAAAAGTGGTTAAAAGGGCTATATTACTTGCTAGGCTGTTGAACAAGGCATCTATTAAAGTGAAAATTAACCACAATATGAACTTCAGATAATGGTTTGCTATCCAAATGAGTGTATAATTGTTTGCAAATGCATAATTGACCCCAAGTTCATGCATTATGATCAATGTGCAGCTATGGTGGTTAAAATGTCTCGAAAATACCCTATATTTGCACTAATTAACCATTTTTAGAGCACATATTAGCTTTGTAAAGCTATAGCTGGCCATGCTACATTATCTAGATATAACTACCTGCTCATTTATATGACCAGAAACATTGCTGAGTCCTATGTTGCGTCCATCATGGTTAATAAAGGTCTAAAATTGACCAAAATCAGTGTTTTTGGTCGTTTTAACCACCATACGGCCACACATTTTGTTGCATTATCTTTAAAATCACTTATTATCCTCCAGCTATCTCTCATAATCAAATATCAAAACAAAATAAGGCACAAAAAGTTCGGAGGTTGCTGAATAATGGTTAATTTGTGATGGCTTCTGTTGACCGAAAGTCCAAAATAAACATGTTTTAACCACATTGAGGCCACATCTAAGGTTTTATGGTATTGGGACCATAGTCAAAAGTTTTGGGCACCTGAATGGTGACCTCTGCTTTTGAAATTATGGTGATATTTCAATGCTGTGCCATACCAGGTGGTTAAGTACGCGCTAGCGCGCGCGCACGCGTACAAACATGGTTTTTTTGATATACCACAGTTGGTGGTTAACTGTTCTACATCAAACCTTCACTAAAAGTATTGGGCACCATAGCTTGGTGACATAATATATAAAGAATTTAAGCCTAGACTAAATATGTTGGCCTACAGATGGTTAAGTACGCGCTAGCGCGCGCACGCGTACACTATAACATAAACAAATAAACCACTCCACAGACCACATTTATTAATTTTTTTAATTTCCTTCTTCAACTATGTGTCAATGAACCATTTTTGTTCAATAATGACCATCAATATTAACTGTAGTACTTATATCTTCACTGTAGTAAGGGTTTGGGTGTTAGAGGTATAAAAAATGTCCACTAACAAATCAGTCATTTTTCGACTACTTAACCACCTAACTCAGCACCAAAATGTTCTGAGATTTTTTTCGTTGCACTATCATGAAGCTATGACATTTTTGGACCTATGTAAATAATCAGATTACTAAAATTCATAATCTTTGATTTTTAAGGGGGGGTTAAATGCTTCAAATTGGTGTATTTCAAAGTTTCCCCAGATTTGCTGCTATTGCTGAACAATATATTTAAACATCCTCTACCAATCTGTCTAAATACGTAGATATCAAATCTAATCTACTGGTTGGGCCAGAAATAACGTAATCTCGAGCTCCATTACAAGTGTGCTAAAGTTAGCACATGTGCTAAAGTTGGCACCTGTTTGTCACACCTCCAATTCCTGAATTCCTGCTACTCTGGTCTTTGTGTATAATATGGCCCATCCTTTACATAGTTAGTTACTCAGGAACTGGGAGAAAAGTGACACCCATTACGGTTGGTGAATACGACCGGGAGTACGATATTTAACCTACATGCTTGATCAGGTCATAAACCGGGAGTACGACATTTAACCTACATGCTTGATCAGGTCATAAACCGGGACTACGACATTTAACCTACATGCTTGATCAGGCCATAAGCCGGGAGTACGACATTTAACCTACATGCTTGATCAGGCCATAAGCCGGGAAAAAGTGGGTAGGAGAGGCCATAACGTACAGACTTAATCATGCGTTGTTAGATAGATCCACCACATTCAACATGTTTATAATTCATCAATTTCCGAGTGCGATTAGAACGCTACCGTCTTGATGGCAGATCATCGAGAATATTCCGGAACATTCGAGAAAGATTGAAAGTGGAAAGATTGAGAATTTAAATAAAGGGAACAAAGAATCATAAAACTAATGTGGATATTATAATGAGGATATTGTAATTCCCTACCTGGTCTATGATTTCTTCCATTTCCAGCTCCTTGAGAGTAAGTACCATGGACAGAAACTTCTTGTTCACAATGTTGAACTGTCCTAGAATAGAGTTAATGTATAATTTAAAATTGCGTTTGGTTATTCTCCTAAAAGTTTAAATAGAAAAGCATAAATTAAATCTATACAGCTGTACATTAGGTTTATCAACTGTGGAAGCCGTAAGATGTGCCAGCCTGTGAAGTGTGACATCTTTAGGTAGTTGTTCGCGTAACGATTAAGATAACTACTCGAAGGAAGATATTATCGGGACTAGTGAACCGTCACAATAAAAACAATCCACGCATTTACTTAACCCCTTAACCATATTGAATGTTACGAAAAGCCGGCAATGAACATGCAACATATCGTGCTGAGAGCCTGATGAACATGCAACATATCGTGCTGAGAGTCTGATGAACATGCAACATATCGTGATAAGAGTCTGATGAATTGCCCGCGGGGTAGAGATGGGGGATAATTACTGTGGGCCATGTTTCGCAACCAACATCAAAAGACACAATTTAAATGACATAAAGTTTGCAAAATGTTACCGTTTTCGACAACAAAATTAGATCTTAAGTTAGAAAGGACGAAAATGTTTTCGATATTTTCGATACTCTGCGAAATGTCACACAAACTTTATATTGTCCTGAGTGTGAAGCCCCCATTCGACAGAAAAACATGTTAAGAGCTACTAATATGATCAAGCAGAGCGTTTTACCGATACGAAAGCTTGATGATTAATTCTTAGTTACAAGGGGTGTTCAAACCGAACCAGAACACAGGAACAACAGGTGCACTAAAAATGGGATTGATTTTACGATTGGTCAGATAAACCACGTGTTCTCCAGCGTGGTTCAGATTAAATTAATCAACATATTGAGCTTGTGCATATTGGGCCTTGCGCCGGAGTGCTTGTTGGGGGTACGGTTATAAAGCTGTGAGCATGTTTCAGCAGTTACATGTTAAAGATGCAGTATCGGAGAATACAATGGCCAATGAACAACCTGAGCTGCTGACGAGCTTAATTGGGCCTGCTTTTGTTCCTAAACCCATGATATTGAGAGGCAGTTAAACTAGCGGGCTGCGATGAATGAGGGCTTGCCACCCCATGGCCACATACAATATATTGGCTTTGTTACATCGCTTCTTGTTAATATGAAACTCTGTAGCATAAAATGATTTGAGATGTGCGACTTGCAGGTGCTATATATCTGTACCAAGGTGCTATACCAGGGTGCTATATGCTATACCAGGGTGCTATACCAGGGTCACTGTCATGGTAGTAGGGTTATAGAACTTGAGTTACAAAGTTACGTTTCCGGCGACTATTTGGGGGTGAAACTTCTTGAGATGAAATGTGGGAGGATCAAAGATGGTGCACATTTGAGTTTTCTTCAGTCTGCAACTAAAATACCCATGAAGAAGAATACCCTCTTATCTAGGTGTCTAGTCTAGAGTAGTCTACTTACCAGTGTACAGATAGTCAATGATGTCCTGAAGTGCAGTAGCTGAGAGGTGAGATAGGTCAATAGTGTACCGACCAGCTTTGCACAATCTGGGGGGAAGATTAAGTTAAGACTTAAGTTGTAGTTCAGTTGTTCAGCTGGATTATGTGACATGGTTAAATTGATATTGAATTATTGGTTTAAGACCTCCTAATAGTACTTGCGAAACGATTTTGAGACTAAATATGCATATTAATAATGAATATTAAACACAGGTCGGCTAAGTTGCCACATTTTCTCAGGTATCAAAGAGCACAATGAGCACTTGTCCAATCTGTTGACTAACTGTAATGGTAATGATAGCAATGAATGTAATATATGCAATACAAATGTCGTAATCGATTTCCAACTTGCTTAGTAGCATGATTGTAGAAGAACTTTATAAGCAGCACTGTTATATTCAGTAATTACCATTTTGTAACTATCATTTTGTAATTATCATTTTGTAATTACCATCTGTAATTATACGTCGATCCTACATATTATAGCATAATGAAAAATGCAGATGGTTTATTGTGTGCTTGTAATTGTCTGTAGTATGTACTATGGCGGTCAAAGGTGTCTGCAAGCTCAATATGTTAAGTGATTCAGAGGTCATTTGTCGCAAATCGAAAATGAGAAAGTTTATCAATGTTCCTAATGGCAATTAGGAATATAATAGCAATGTATAGAATACAACTGGCAAATGGGCCCAAGATTGTTTTCTCATATAACACATTAAATTATGGAGGAAGTTTTTGTTTTTAAGCACAAGAAAGAGGCCTATTTGTCTCAGTCTTAAAACAGATAAAAATCTAGAAGATCAAACAGTTCCACTGACCTAAAGTCGAGGTTTTTCCTAAAGTAAATGTTGGTAGGACGGAGTATTGCGGAGTGAGCGAATATACTCGTGTTCTCCTTGGTCTTAATGATGACGTCACAGGTCTCCATGGACCTGTCTCCGTGGAGATTGTTGAGGAGGTGCTCGGCGTACATGTCGTGTTTTATCTCCGTCACACTGGTCGTACTGCGGTGATTTGGTGTGAAAATATTGTTAGTTTCATGCTTTACTCGGAGTTTCATGCTTTACTCGGAGTTTCATGCTTTACTCGGAGTTTCACTTTACTCGGAGTTTCATACTTTACTCGGAGTTTCACTTTACTCGGAGTTTCACTTTACTCGGAGTTTCACTTTACTCGGAGTTTCACTTTACTCGGAGTTTCACTTTACTCGAAGTTGAAGTTTCTCCTTACTTGAACTTTCGTTCGCTTCGAGTTCAATTAATAAAGCACGCACAATTAATAAAACTCGAGTTAGACGGGTTCCTGCTAGCTAATATAATACGTACTATGTATTGTGAAATGCTTGAGCCTTAGAGTGAAGTAGCGAAAATTGGAACAAAATCCACGAATTATAAACTTAATGGCCCGTGTAGCAAAACGTTTCAGAAAAAAGTTGCTTTAATTTTAAAGAGCTTGGAATTTTATTTTGGATTATTAAGGTGTGCATCTGAAACGAAATAGCAAAACAGCCGAGCTATAAGTATAACATGCTTATTGCTTATCGATTAATATTTATCATGCCGGTCGTCCGAAACGTTATTATACTTGATAATTTAATATCAAAATGATCTATCTCTCCATACTCCAATCAAAACCTCAAGATAATGTTAATATAAATTTATAATGATCCAACGTGTTTAATGAATTGTCGCAATCGCGATTTATTTTGATTATGAAGATGTTTGGTAATGAAATCTTGGTCCACGGATTGGTTCTTGAAATGTAGAGTGTTGATAAATCAGTGATTGTGTCGAATGCCGTCCCTATTTTGCGATCACATATTGAACTGAAAAAATACCTGACGAACTGAGAAACTAACTTGTTGTTGGAATAGGAAAACAGTAATTAGTAATCACTTTATTGTGCCTAGTCAAGTCAAATTATGCAACAAATAAAATTAGAAAAGAACATGTTGCGTTTCAAGACATTGCCTGGATAGTAGACATATTATGGTAGAGAATGATGGTTAATCACTCTACGCCCAATGGCACGTGATTAATTTTAACTTGTTTTGTATGTTATTCTGACGGATAGCCCTACAGCCAAGTCATTGCCTTCCAGCAGAGCCATCGCCTTAAATTGAAGGAAATAATATCCCACAGTGATGCACGCCGCCGCCGGACGCCGCCGCGCCGGCACATTTTCACACGCCGCCACGCCGATAACTCTCAAGTCGGCGTGGCGTGAAAGGAAATAGAAAGAGTATGAAGCCAGTCGGGGTTGATTTTGAACTTTAGGAGATCCAAATTGTCCAACGACAATGTTAAGAATTTGATTTTTCTTAAATATAATTGTAAAAACCACCAAATATAATTGTAAAAACCACACTTATTACATCATTATTTCATGCACACACGTACGCCACAATTTTTGTGGGCCTGGAAATTCAAACCTAAATTTTGACAAAATTATGTTCCACGCCGCCGAACGCCGCCACGCCGGGCCATTTTGGGCACGCCGCCGCCGGTTGGCGAAAAATGAACCGGCGTGCATCACTGATATCCCAAAATTGTAACTCTAAGGAGAAGATTGACCAATTTATTTCTACGGGCATTTCACGTTATCGAAACATTTATTTCGTCGGGAAACCATTTTGGCCAAAAATACGTCGATTCTACTGTATTTTAAGTTTCAACCACTAGTATATTTATATTCTTTATAAAGAATCTTAACGTTCTGAATGTAGAATGATTTTACACGTGATAGATTACACACGCACCTCTCAACATTCCTTTTCGAGCGATAGCTGCTTCGCTTCGCCATCACTTACAAATTCTTATAACAAAATCGGTACAGAGCTCAAGAAAAGAATAATCGACTTTCTCGTTTATTGGTCATTAGCTGCTCCAGAGACCAGAATCAGCTGTGCACAATAAAGAGTGACACGCGGAGGGAGGAGAGGGCACACGAAGGGGGGGGAGAGGGCACATGATCTATTTTACCCAGGACTGGGGTAACATACCTAGAGCTAGCTGCTCAAAAGAGACAAATCTGGCCACGGACAATTGGTTGCACTCATAGGTTTGTGTACTTTATAACACCATGTTCAAGTGATGGTCGTGGACTATGGGGTGTGGTTATTAGCACGCGTTTTAACGATAATTTGCCGCGCTAATGTTTAATTACTTTAAAATCCCAAACGAAAACTCATGCTAACTCATTACATTTCCATAAAAATGATCCGACGAATAATGGATCAAAGTGTAATTGTAGGAGCGACCATATTTTAAAATGGTCGCCCCCTTCCATTAAACTAAAAGGGCATCCCAAGTTTAGTACCTGCCAGAGTATGAAACCAGAGTGCGGAGGGTTGGCTGTGCACTTCCAACACTGTTCATCTCCATCACGGTCAATTTCTAGTTTCTAAACTAAGCAGAGAAAAATAGAGACTGAGTATCAAAACATCTGATAGTTCCTCGAGGTTGATCGCTATAGCTAATTAAGGATAATCTTGCTGTATTCGTTAATTAACTGATAACTAAAGCTTAATAAGCGATCAAATGAACAGCAAGGATTGCCTTAACTGTGTCAAGTCACGTTTCGACTGTCTTTATAGCGAGAAAGACAGAGAGGAAGGTATTAATTTCCGTTTACGTGGCCAGAAATCGTGTAATGTGTATTAGAAGTATGAAAGACTGGTATTATAATGTGTTACAGGAAACATGTGGATCGTGGACACTGGACATGTATTAGCGGTTTTACTTGGCCTCAAATGCGTTTTGTAATATGTCGATTAGCTGAATTTTCGGACAGTTTTCCTGTGCGTTTCTAATTCTATCTAAATCTTACAGCGGACATCCAGGGAGCCGAACGAATCGAGGTAGTGGTGAGGTTAATCAGGAATCAATGGTCTATTGAATGTCAGATCTTGGCAGTTGGCCCTTGCAGATCGTTTCAGATTAAAAATAACGATTAAATGCCGTATTTTTGCAAATTGCACAGGTTTGTGTGTGCTGCCACCAGCACAAATAGGAGAGTGTCACAACAATTTTAATCTTCTGATTGATATTAGGTTGGAAAAGTTTACTGTTACGTGGGTGTTTATGAGCCAAGAGGTGGAAACTGTTAACTAAACACGCTAGGTAAGTGGAAAATGTTAATTAAACTAAATCTTATTGAAACGGGCCAGTTTAGTTAACATTTTCCTCCTAAACTGTTTAGTGTTTAGGAGGAAAATGTTAACTAACATATTGGAACGTGCCGCTAGATGGGTACGCGTGAAACTTAAAACGGTTAACTTAATAAATCTATGTTCGTTTTATAGTGCACACTGCACAGTAAGTCTAACAGTGGTTAACTCTGTTAAGGCATTATGACATGATAATTGTCCCAAATCTCTGGGCGAGGGAGCGCAACAACCAGAATACTTAGAGTCGCCGAGTGCTGATAATTTGGAGAGGAGGACTCGCTGAGGTAAGGAGGGCTCGCTGGTTCCAATTTACATAAGAGTTTTTGCCTTGGTTATTGCAATTAAGATTTAATGTTATGAATAATCTTAAGAAAGATGTAGAAAGATCGATGGAGTCTGGCGGGATTTAGAGAATTAGTTATGATTCTGCGGACATGAAAGTAACATTTAACTTTAAGAGTTATATTATACGGGGACACTAATATTAATAATGCATAAGTTATTAAGTTATTAAGTTATTAAGTTATGCAATCCGGAATAAGTCCAGAAGCTATCTCACTTAGCTATTGTTAATCAGATTAAGTTATTTGCTTGGGTGCGCTCCGCCGATTGTTCAAAATACTTGAGCATGAACAGTGAACACAGTGAGCCCTATACTAGATAGGCTGTAATGAACCATTATTATTCAAATTCTTCCGACCGAATTCCTTTCATCTAGTACATACGAAATCAAGATGCAAGCCCTTTGTACACTAAGAAGCACTATGGGCCAGATCAAAGACACAGCAGAGTTTTAAATTAAAATCAACAGCCGGCGTTGATCCCAACAAAGAAGTCGCTCCCCTGCAGAGACAGTGACACACACTAGGGTACCTAAAGTTTATCACTAGCAACAAATCTCATACACTTCTCTTACACTTCAGAAATGAAGATTCATAGAGGACCATAAACATACCAATCCTAAATCCAAATTTAAGGCTTTACTTGGGTTAAGGTCATAAGGGTTGTGGTTAGGGTTGTGTTTAGCTTCGGGGTTATGGATAGGGTTAGGGTTGGAGTTGGGATTTAGGTAAGATCGTTTCGATCGACTACAAAGCTGTGGAACCCAAATCACGTGATAGTTTTTGGGTGAGTGAAATAATATATCGGAGCTACTCCAATTCCAGCTTTGAACTAGCACATAAAGGTGACCAAATGGGCCAGTGTTCCTTATTTAAAAATAATTCTCACTTCATCTCCTTTTATGTTGTTCTAATTCTATAGGATTGGGTGATCTCACCATTTGGCAATTTATACGGATTATGTTCAACAACAGAACTGCCAGAGAAGTAAAAATCATTAAATCTTGGTCAATAGGTGGATCGAAAAGATATTTGAAAAGTGCCATCTATTATCCATATGTTTACTGCCAAATTAATCTATCGATAATGTCACATATGAGCAAGAGCACGTTATGTACTTCAATCTTCATACAAACTGTGATCACAAGGGCGGTGCAACTGCAAGAAATGGTAATTGGCGCTTTAGCATAAATAATGCTGCCTATTGCTAATGCTAGGTGAAGATCTGCAGCTGTCATTGAATTAGTTTTCCATTCATTTTCCATGAAAATATGTGAAGGACGCACCCTAAGAGACGAAAGAGTAGACTACAGACAACAGTAAATACTGTACAATTTTATTCCTAAGCAATATATTTGATCTGTACCCATGACCTAGTATAATATGACAAAGACAATACTGGCCTTAGTTACAGCGATGTTTTGACCTTAGACTTATGAAGCACTCAATTGTAACATCTAATAAGTTTTATATCTTTATATTTAGATGGTTTGAA